CATCCCCGCCCCCCCCCCCCCCCCAGCCCATCCTTACCAAGCCTTCTTCTACTCTGGCAAAATGGCATCTCCAGGAAGCCTTCCCTGAATAATCCCATCTTTTTTAAAAAAATTATTTTATTGACGTATAGTTGACTTACAGTGTCGTGTTAATTTCTGCTGTGCAGCAGAGGGATTCAGTGATACGTATATAGACATTCTTTTTCATATTCTTTTCCATTATGGTTTATCCCAGGATGTTGAATATAGTTCCCTGTTCTCTACAGTAGGACCTTGTTGTTTATGCATTCCGTATATACCAGTTTGCATCTGCTCACCCCAAACTCCCAATCCATCCCTCCCTCCCCGCTCCCCTTGGCAACCACAAGTCCTGAACAATCCTATCTTGGATTTTCTCCAGCCAGAGCCTTTGTAGTTTACTTCATTACACTAATTGCCGTCAGATCAACCCATTTTTGTTTTCTTTACGGAATGTATGCACCGTGAGGGCAGTTGCCTTGTTTTTCTTGTTCTCCTTGGAGTCCCAGCACCTAGCACCGTGCCTGGCACATCCTAGTCTGCAAGTAGTTGGATGGACATAGTGTGTGTTACTGGTTAACACTCTTACTCACCTGAGTCAGTAATTGCTTAGGTTTTATTTACATAGAGACATCTTTCTATCTTCCTAATACTCCCTAATGACATTGGTGCTTCAATGCATAGAATTTCTTTGTCATTAGGCCCAAACTTACACATCAGCCAGGATGGGGTTTCAGGGAGCAGGGAGGTTCTGTTTGCTTACTGTAGAGAGCTTTGGGAATGTTTAAATGGCAGCTTTAAGTGTTTAAAGACAAGGATGCCATCATGTCTTGATGGTGAATCAAGGACCAGACTCTAAAATGCAGTCAGGCATTCAAGTATACAAGGTAAGAAAGTAATAAAATAATCCCACTGTCTTGTGGGCGAAAGTGATTCTGTTTAAGTTTATTCCTGAAGCTTCTGAGCTGTTCACTAAGCTTTTTTTCTCCAGGGTAGCTCTTTGATTCCAAGCGTAAATTATCCTAGGTCAAGATACAGATAATCTGGTGCAGGCCCTCATAACTGAACACTTTCCGTAGAGGTTGGACCCTTTATTTACCATTGGTCTTAAGGGCTTTGACCCAAGGGTGGACCTCCAGTCTCTGGATTGGAAAAGGTGAATCTGCCTCTTTTGTTCCGCGTAAGGATTGAAGGCTAGGGAGGGCAGAGAAACAGCAACTTCTTAGTTCATTTGGAGTGTCGAGTAATGGCTTTGACCTCTTTGCCCAACAGTAGTACCCACCCACCTGGTGGAAACTCACCTGCTCTCTGAGGTGCCTTACAGGATCAGGTCATGCTGGGGCCCAACAGAGGCCTCTGGTGATAAACCCCTGGGCGTCAGGGTTCACTGTCTTCTCTGGGCTCCATCTCACCAGCTCCCACACAGCCACTCAATGTCTGTTGGATTCCCTTCATTCAGAGTCCTGAAGCGAGCAGTGGGGTCCAGGGAAATAGCGGGGATTTTAGGAACATGTAAAAATGAGTGTCCTCAAGGAGTCGACTGGAGGAGGGAGACAGACACTGCCCAGTTAATTATGATATGAATCATACTGTGTTACAGTTGCTGTAAAAGATTCCATCTTTTTATTTTTTGGCCGAGCCTCATGGATTGTGGGATCTTAGTTCCCCGACCAGGGATTGAACCCAGGCCCTCGGCAGTGAAAGCATGGAGTCCCAATCACTGGACCACTGGGAAAGTCCCTCAGATTCTATCTTTTAGGTTCACAATTTTGAGTGGGGAGTGTTCTTGGGTCCTTGCTTCCTAAAGGACGAACTCGGGGGGAGAGGGTCGATGGAGATGATGACAAGATGGCGTAGTCAAAGGAAAGTCTTTTTTTTTTTTTAATAAATGTATTTATTTATTTTTGGCTACGTTGGGTCTTTGTTGCGGCGCGCAGGCTTCTCATTGCAGTGGCTTCTCTTGTTGCAGAGCGCAGGCTCTAGGTGCGTGGGCTTCAGTAGTTGTGGCACGCGGGCTCGGTAGTTGTGGCGCACGGGCCTAGTTGCTCCGCAGCGTGTGGGATCCTCCTGGACCAGGGCTCGAACCCGTGTCCCCTGCATTGGCAGGCGAATTCTTAACCACTGCGCCACCAGGGAAGTCCCGGGAAGCTTTTGTCCAGGAAACACAGTTTCCATTGTTGTGTACGTGTTAAAATAGGACTTACTCATCTTGCTGTATGAAAACCAGCAGGATGTTCAAAGGCCCACTCTTGCCTGTATGTTAGGTACTTTCTATACCAGAAATATCGAAGATATGAGTTGACCAGGTTGAAGCTGTGTCCTCCCCTCCCCCCAGTATCCCCTTTGGAAAATGCCTTCCCGAGGTAGCTAATGACAGGCATCACGAAACACCAAACACGGTGTATTTTGACGGTTGTGGCTCTTGGGGACTTGCCGAGTCCCAAGTTTAGTAGCCGCTATCACTCCCTTGCAGGCCTCCTGGTCACTATCCCTTCAGAAGTGGGAGGTTGAGTGGTGCGGCCACACCAAACTGTTGAAAATGGGACTTGATTCATAGACAGAAGGGGCAGAGGCTGGGGGACTGGGGAGAGGGGAGAGAGGGAAGAACAGACATCCAGCAGGAAAGATGAAGGTCAGCTGGCAGTTAGGACTTCCTGAGATAGACAATGGAAGCATGGCTTTGCATGAGCTTTCTTCCCAGAGGGCCTTACAAGAGGTTAGAACATACAAGTTCTAGCTTCAAGGGCAGTAGAAGGGGATGGGGGGGTGGGGAGAAAGTTTCTGTGATGGGGTGGATGATAGCAGAGATTTGCCATTGCATCAGGAGGGATGGGAATTCGCTTGTGAAGATTGCCTACCTGATGGAGATTGGGACGTAGCATCTTCTGGAAATCAGGGCAGTAGAGACCTCTGTTCCTCTAGGTCGAGCTGGCCTGGGCTCCTACCCTTGGCTACAGCCACCTGGATTCCAAATGTGTCTTGAGTGAGTTGGGAAGGCACATCAGGCCTGGAGCATCATCCCAAATGTGGGTTTTCTCTTTGGACTATATGTCTCTGGTTCTTCCCTGTGTTAGAGACAGTCCTGAGAGAGCTGGCTCTGGGGCCTCATGTGCTGCCATGTGAAACGGGCGAAAATCCTATAGGCAATAAGTGAGTGGGGAGCTAGAGGGCCTCATCGCTTCTCTGAAGAGACTGGATGGGAGGTTTTCCTCCTTAGCTTTTCTGCTATGGTGGTTCCAGACCCCTGCACGTGGCCTCAGAACCCTGCATGGCCTGGCCCCTGCCTTGTCCCTAGCCTCGCACTGCGATGGTCCGGTTCCGCAGATGCCCTGAGTCCTCTCTCCTCAGTGGGCGCCACTCCTTCCATTTGCACTGCCTCTCTTCTCTCTCGCCCAAGTCTCTCTTTCTGCCTCCCCTCCTTTCTCTCCACATCTCTCCCTCATTCTTTGTGTCTGGCTCCCCCTCCTTCATCCTGTTTCCTATCCCATCATCCATTCTCTGTCCGACGTGATTCCCTCTCCGGGTCTCTGCTGAGCTGTCACTCCGGGGAGTCTTTCCTAAAGGCCCCTCAGCCACATTGCGTGGGCACCTTCCCTGGGGAGAGCCTGCGCCTCCACGTGTCGCCCCCCCGAGACAGGCAAGACGGCCCCCGTTCTCTTTGGAAGTGCCTGTCTTCCTTGCAGTTCAAGTCAGAGCAGGAGTCGTCTTGTCCGTTCACCTGCAAGACCTTCCAGAAATATCTGTTGAGTGGCTGCTTTCTCTTCCTGCAGCACCTCCTGCAGGATTTGTATGGTCAGCAGACACCAGTCTTAGAAACGGGAGGTGGAATTTCTCGGGCAGGTCCTGGTGAAAAAAGCGTTGACTTTTCGCTTGCACTTTGATGAGCATCCTCAGTAATAGCTCTTTGAACCCGTTTCAGGAAGCTCTATGCGGAGCTGTGCCAGGGCATTGTGGACATAGCCATCGCCAGCCTCTTCCCGCCCCCCGGCTCGGGGCAGCAGCCGTCCCAGCCGGCCGCCTTCATCAAGCTGTGACCGAGGGAGGTGCTCGAAGCTGCCTCGTAAGAAGCACGAGGGGGCGCTGCCCCGGGGGGAGGAGGAGTGGCCGAGTTGCCAAACAGGAGGAAGAGAGACGACCCGCAGAGACGCGCTGGAAGAAGAAAAGGCAGCTTCCCCGAGGAGTGGTCGCGCGCCCGGGGCTTCCCAGGTGGAGCTCTTGGCACTGCTACTGAGATTGGAAAACTGCAGCAAATTTCGCCAATGGGAGAGCAGAATATTCTTCTGAGGGGCAAAAACAGGGATGTGCTTATTTTACGTTCTCATCCTTTGAAAAATCTGATTTTTATCCTAAGGTAGTGCTGTGAGCAGCGCCTCTCCTGCCCGGGGTGGCAGCCGTTGGATCTGGTTGGTGTCTGTCCACCTGCTGCATTAGTGCCTTAGCTCTGTGCCCAGCTACAGCCTCCTATCTGGGGCAGGGGCGGGATGTGAGAGCACTTGGGAGGTTGCCAGGGTGTCCCCCGCTGGGCATCCCACGGGCATCTGGACAAGCGCGCACCGACTGTCCTGGGTGCTGGGCTCTGCGGACGCTGCCTTGCCATCAGGGGGCTTGCTCTTCTTGGTCCTGATGGCATCTGGCTGGTCACTGGCCCGGGCTGGCGTGGGCTGGGCACCAAACAGCAAACGCTGCTCTCAGCCTGCTCTCTGCATGTTCTAGAAACCAAGCAGCAAGTTTGCTGCAAACCCGTAAGCATCCAATAAGCATGAGAGAGGAAAAAACAACGTCCTGCTTTACTTAATAGTTGCGGTGGGGGGGAGTCTTTGAAATATGATTCTCAGTTCTCTTTGTTTTAACCAGAATTCTACATGCCCTTTGGCCAAGTTCCCTTTCGTTCTGTTTTTTTGGGGGGGATTTAACTTTTGTAAAAGCCCTTCTAGGGGTCGGGAGAGGGTAGAATTCCCCCCACTCCGCCCCAGGGGGCTCCTCCCCGCTTTGTTTTTCTTGCTCTTCTAGCACCTTCTGTGGGAGCTGGACAGGCAGGTTTTGTTCCAGGGAAGATTCTCCGTCCGCTGCGCCTCTCGACATCACGGAGAGGCTCTGAATCAGTGTGTGTCTCGCCTGAGTGGGAGAGTCTCTTAAAATGGGGAAGATGGGGTTTCAGAGCCGCACTCAGCATCTCTTAAGTCAGCAGAGGTTAATGGTGTCCCGTTAGATGTAGTTTCTACTCACGGGATGGAAGAATTTTCTGCAGACTTTCCAGGAGGCCATGTCACTAGCGAGAGGAAGCCCTATCTGCCATCTGTGTCCACTGTAAGATGAGTGAACGGTGTGCTGGGAATCACAGCAGACCCACTGAACAGGCTCCCTCCTCCCCAGGGCACGGTGGGGTCTTCCCTTTGGCACCTGTGTGCTCCGTTATTCGTCTCTACTTGGCACGAGAAAACAGTTCTGCAGCCAGGGGAGACTTTTTTTTTTTTTTTACAAAGAGAAGAAACAGCAACACCTCAAACATGATGAGATGTGGGAGCTTACAGTGAAAAAAGGAATCATGATGGAAATGATTCAATGGATGCAGCAGTGTGTGTGGGATGTGAAAGTGTTATGTCCGGGCTGAAGTGGAGGAAGGGCCAGCTGGCTCGGCCCTCCTGGGTGTTTGGAATTACAAAATAAACGTGCGGGCAGTTACCCAGAATATATAGATAATGAAGTTTCCACCCAGAGCAAAATAAGACAGTGTTAAGGGAACTGTGAAGGCTCAGCCCAGCTGATGGGTTAGTGCTGGGGGCTTCTGAGCAGATCATGGTGAGGTGCACACCCACGTAGAAAGTGCAGGGGGATGGGGGAAGCGTGGAGGTTTTTGTAGTGCTGTCACGTGCGAACGCAGATTTGTAATCATCTTTTGGACCTGAATTGCGGGGACATTCGAGAATTTTCTCTTACGGTGTCTCTTACGGTGACAGAGCTAAGAATCCAGGTGTAGGAAGTCTGTGGAACTTGATGGATTTTCTAAGAAACCTGAATCAATAGCAATACATGTGAGGGAAGGGAGGCTTTAAAGAGAAAATTCTGCTTCATTCCTCGCATGGTTTCGAATAAGTATCTATTTTATGCATTTATTTCTGATCAGGTGGAATGGTTGGCTCAGAGCTGTTCCATATCCTTCCATGATATCCTTGACACAGGTGGTCATGTCTCGCCCGCAGTCAGTCTTCATACCTATAGTCTGTGTTCGTGTGTCCAGTTGCTGGGGAAGGAGGTGGTGTTTTGTGGAGGCGTCGATTCTGATCTTGACTCTGTCATTGGCTGCACAGCATCAGAGGAGCCCGTGAGCCTCTCTGTGCCTTAGTTTCTTATCTCATGGAAGAGCTTGTTGCCTGACCCAGGGACTGCTTCAAGGGCATTTAGTGAGGACACATGAGATTAGGAAGGCTGGAGAACCTCGAGTACCAAGGTTCTCAATGCTGGCTATTTGCTGGAATCACTTGGGAAGCTTTTAAAGAATGTTGGTGTCCACACCTTCCCCCTCCCTCACCCCTGACCCCATTAAGTCAGAACCTCAGGCATCAGCATGCTTTGAGATGCCTTGAACCACTGATTGAGAAGGAAGGACAAACACATTATTACCTTGGAAGAATCAGATAAGGTTTAGGGCTTTTTTAAAAAGTCCTTTTAGAAGGCTAGGCATTCCTTTTAAGAATGACCGGATGCTGACGTGGAGTGCCGTCCAAGCAGGTTTTTCTTTGCTCCCCGTCACAGCCTTTGGAAACTCAGCTGTGCTTTCATCTACTTAAACAGTTTGTGAAGCCTTGTCAGCAAATATAAACAGACATGAATTTATAAATCTGCTAAATAGGTGTTAAGATTATAAACAAATTATTGAGAGAAAATCCCCTTCCCTCCCTCTGGACTCCCGTGGTAACTATAAACTCCACTTCCCCAGGACGTGGAAGTGCCTCGGTGTCTGTCTGATACAGTGGAGCAGGTGCTGGTGGACTTACCAGCTGACGTGATGTTTCACGAGTGCCTCAGGGTGATCATCCCAGACTTGGGACATCTGGTAGTGCTGGAAGTGGATGGGATCCGCAGGACCCGCAAGCAGCAGTGATGCTACAGAGGGTGTTGCCATTAAGAATTGAGGTCGTGTCAAGCAGGGGTGCATCCAGCCCTGCTGTGGGTGGTGGGGACTCTGCCAGAGAAGACTAGATGCCAGAGTGGGTCCCCACAGCACATGGGTGCCATGGAGAAAACTCTCTCTGATCCTGGACACAGAATCTGTACCTAAGAGGAAATGACTTCTGAAACAAGGCGATTTTATGAATGTTTAAAATGCCTGGAGCATTAAAGGAATCATATTTCAAGCATTTCTTTGCCCTTTGGTTCTGTCATATTGTGAGTGTTGACTGTCCTAGGATATCACTGGTTATTTGAACGCATGATTCTCTTACCCAGAGGTAGGCATACTTTTTCTATAAAGGGCCAGGTAGTAAATATTCTAGGCTTTGCAAGCCAAACTGGTTCTCCTTTGCATATTCTTTTTCTTCCCCAACTCTTAAAAAATATTAAAACAAAGCCAAAAAAACTTAGCACACAGGCCATTACAAAAACAAGCACATATGTGGCCATTGTTTGCTGACCCCAGAATGCTACTCAGTACGTAAGCCAGCAGATTGTCCTTTGAAACTGTGATGAGCTGCTCCAGGGTGAAGCGTTGAAACAATTTCAGCTGCCAAAATCCAGTCCATCATGTCTCACATGTCATGTGTATTGTCTGAATCATGCTGCAGATTGTGAGGTGAGACCCCTCGTTGTGAAGGAGTTATGTGTGCTTTAAACATGGAGGTAGAGGGGCTTCTGAAGTGAGGTTCCTTCCCCAAATAGCTAGAAGTTCAAGAAGTCCTTACTAAGACTTCACTAAGGACTTCTGTGTAAGTCCCCATCTTAGGGCTTATTTTATGTGACCTGTCTTGGAGTGTGCCCAGTGTGAGCAGCCTTTTCCCTAGGTGCATTTGTTAAAAATAATCAGCAGCCATTGTTTAACATCTCAACTTACTGAGATGGCTTTAGCAGCTGGAACAAAGAAGCTGCTGACCAAAAAACTTAGAAGGGAAAGACGGGGAATGAGATGTCCATAAAATGTTTTGAAAAGTTTCAACATATTCCTAAAAACATGGAAGGCCACACACAGGTGTAGGGCTGTGTCCATTCCCAGGGGAGACCTGAATTCCCTCAGCTTTCACCTCTGTCTGACTAGGAGGATCTGCACAAGCGGGACGTGCAGACTAAGGCAAAGCTGTAAACTGCCTGCCTGAGCATGAAGGCATGCCCAGCACACAGACACACACACACACGCAGACACGCAGACACACAGACACACACGCAGACACACACAGTCCTGTGACAAAGACTGGGAGAGGTACTGGTTCTAAGCATTTGAGGAAATCTCTGTTCAATCATTACTTGACCACTAAGCTAACTGAGCAGAGACTTCAGTGGCCACACACTAAAGAATACAAGCTTTACAGAATGAGTTCAGAAAAGTCACTATTTTAAATAAAGAACAACAACAAGAAACCCTGGAGAGAGAGGGAAGAGTGTCTGGTTTCCAAAGTCCCACCATATTATTAAAAATTTCCAACTTTCTACACAAATTATCGGGACATGCAAAGAAAAAAGAAAGTATGAGGGCTTCCCTGGTGGCACAGTGCTTGAGAGTCCGCCTGCCGATGCAGGGGACACGGGTTCGTGCCCCGGTCCGGGAAGATCCCACATGCCGCGGAGCGGCTGGGCCCGTGAGCCATGGCCGCTGAGCCTGCGCGTCCGGAGCCTGTGCTCCGCAACGGGAGAGGCCACAGCAGTGAGAGGCCCGCGTACAGCAAAAAAAGAAAAAAAAAAAAAGAAAGTATGGCCCAGAGAAGGAACAGTCAATAGAAACCATACCTGAAGAAGCCCAGGCATTGGACTTACTACATAAAGACTTTAATTCAGCTATTTAAAATATGTTTAAAGAAATAAAGGAGACAGAACGATGTGTCACCAGAGAGACAATATCATTAAAGAGAGAAATTGTTCTTTAAATAGAACAAAGAAATTTTGGTATTGAAAAGTATGATAATGCAAATGAAAAATTCAGTAGAGGTGTTCAAAAGCAGGTTTGAGCTGGCAAAAGAAGGAATCAGTGAATCTGAATTCAATTGAGATCATCCAGTCTGAGGAACAGAAAGAAAAATGAATGAATAAAAAAATGAACAGAACGCCAGAAACATGTATGTACACCAACATATACGTAACAGGAATCCTAAAAGAAAGGAGGGAGAGAGAAGGGGGCAGAAAAGTTGGAAGGAGCAGTGGTCAAAAACTTTCCCACTTTGATGAAAACCATTAAAATGCATCCAAGAGGTTCAGTAAACTAAGTAGGATACATTCAAAGAG